AAAGTCTATTGCATAAATAGCACTATCTACTGCGAGGATCATGCATCATACGTATGTATGTATGTTTGTCACATGGTATGATAGAGTTGAATTCCAAGAAATAACATGGATGCTGATTATGAATTTGTGTCCACATTGTAGAAATAGCTTCAAACATTTCATTGAATTCTAACAAAGTGCAAATCTCTTGCTGGACTGTCAGACATGTTAATCCATAAAATGTTATACAAAAATAAGACAGAGAATGTTAAAAAACAGAAGAAAATAAAATGAATATAAGTAAAATGTAATAAACAGGCCTGAATACACACAAGACACTTACTACTCTACTTACACCATCTGAATCCACAATAGTTACACTTGAAAAAGAAGACGATGATGATGATGGTGAGATATGCCATCCTCCTTGGTCATTCTCCTTCTGAGCAAGGATGTCATCCAAGCTGTGGGTACCCATTTCAACTTGACTATCAAGGTCTTAAAGAGAAGTAAGGGTGTAAGAAAGGTAAAGTCTGTACTAGCCTAATGGCCTACCCAGCTGTGGGTTCCCATTTCAACTTGACTATCAAGGTCTTAAAGAGAAGTAAGGGTGTAAAAAAGGTAGAGTCTGTACTAGCCTAATGGCCTACCCAGCTGTGGGTTCCCATTTCAACTTGACTATCAAGGTCTTAAAGAGAAGTAAGGGTGTAAAAAAGGTAGAGTCTGTCCTAGCCTAATGGCCCACCCAGCCTGAGTTCATCCTGATCTCCTTAGCATGAAATGATTGGTAGTATCACTACCTCCCCCNCCCCCTCCCCCCCCTGGATGGGATGCCAGTCCACTGAAAGGTTACCCCAGCATTTCATTAGACTTCCCTGAAAATTTTCCAGTATCCATTTATACCCCTGGCTTGCCAGATTTTTTTATTTCTTTTATTTTTTTATGCTTGATTTCATCAATTAATAAGCCCCTTCTCTTTGGGAAGCCTCCCTCTTGAAAACACCCTTTACCTTAGTCTAAAAGCCTGAGAAATTAAAATACCCCAAGGGTTTCATTAAGGGCCTGGGCACCAGACAAACTGACCTGTTATGAGGACAGTTTTACCCAGCTGGTTTGACCATCTAGAGGAAAGTTTATCTTATAAAGAAGTACAGTTCAAAAAGTTTTGCCCACCTGTGAAAACCAGTAGCCCTCCTGCTGAAAACGTTAATGAAACCCCTGTATACCCCCCTGTTCAGAAAGTTTAAATATACAGTAGACTGCCTAATGAGTTTCTACACACCTACGTCAGCTCTTTGATCAGGGTACCTCAATCCAGCAAAAGGTAATCTCCAGAAATCACCAAACTGAAAATAATAAAGAGAAGATTGGTGATGTTTTGGAGTTGTCAATGGAAGTAATGACTTCATTTTCCCCTTTTTATCCTTGGCTTCATAGATGCTGGAAATGGCCAGGCAAATCTAACACCTTATCATAGCCATACCTCCTCTCTCCCACATGACAGTTCTGACTGTCAAACTTAAAACACCAACAGATAGCTTTAACATATTTGCTAAGTCCTTGGTTAAGACAACCATTGCAAATTGAACAAAGTTTAGTCCATGCCCACTTTAAGATATCAACCTACACTGTCTGGTAACATGTAATATGATCTACTGCTAGTCCCCTCCACGCTCATCAATTGAAAATGAATTTTGTAACCTCTTTAAGTGAAGTGACTGACATAGTTTATGATGTAGCTTGTGTAACACCAGTGTGATGGTGAATTCATGTTTGCACCCTAGTTTATTAACACTATAATTACAGTAAGAGTTTCATTGCACCCTCTCTCCCTTCCTCCACAGATCAAAAGGACATTCTTTGATAACATTAGACAAGTGTACTCTTATTTGACTTACCATGGAAGAAGAAGGAGGAGAGAGATGACCATCCAACTGACTGCCTCCAAGCTAAATCAAAGCAACACAAATGGAGAGGGGTAAGGAAAGAGACAATGAAAAATATAAACAGCCCTATTTCATGAAAATGACGGGGTAAGGTTTCTAGAGAAACTGCGGTGTTGTATTGGTGGGAGGTACTACAAGATAATTTGGTTTTATCAACTGAGTTGATAGCATAAATTGGCCACCGAGAAGAATCTCTGAGGCTGATACTTCGTTTTGCTCTGACGAAGGGCTACAGCTTGAAATGTCAGCTATAGAAACTCGTCACGGTGGCCAATTTACATTTATCAACTCAGTTGCTAACACCACATTACCCTCTTTCAATAATTAAGTTTCTTAAAAGTACACTGTAGGAGTGTGGATTCCAATTACTGATTGACTGTATATCTGACTAACATAACTGAATCAGTTCAAAATTAACAGTAATACTTGAGTGTGAATTACCTGATCATCGAGGTTATCATTGCCCTGAGATGTATCAGGTCCTTTAAGCATTCTATCCCTTAGGGATTTGGGGTGTTGGAAAATATTCTCTTGTGGTCCTTCTGAGTGTGAACGAGGTGGTATGGCTGTCATAGACAAAGAAAGTTTAGAACTTCTTAGTCGCTATATGGTTACAAAAACTGAATTTTGCAACTTCCTTCAAAACATTACACATTATTAATATAATTATAACTTACAATAAACCGCAACAATTCCTAAATCAAAGTCAAATCTCTATAAATAAGCATCACTACTAAAAGAACTATGAAAGCTCTTAAATGCAGATTCCAATGAAATTATAAGCTATCTTAATGTTTTCTCCACTGAGGTGGAGGAACCCTGTAAACAGGGAAAAGATGGAACCAAATAGCATTCCATCAAATTCACTGGGTACCAAACTTAATGTCTTATAAAATGTACCTGCATAGTGTTAATCAAAAAAGCTTCATGTTTTGAAAGTTTTTCAACATTTTTCTGTATTCCAATTGATTTTTTTAATTGTAATTAGGTCTGTTTAAGTTCTAGCATTAAAATATTTAGGAGTGTGTTGCATTCCTGCCATGACCAGAAAGGAAATATGCGATTGAAAAAATGCTCATTAACTTCAGGTCCTCGATGCTGAATTGACATTCAGGCTAAATTTTCACAGCACTTAGTCAATTCTAAACATACTCCATTAATTCATTTTAAGAGGAGGCACCTTCTCGAAATCATATTGCATTTCAACTGATCAACCAATTGCACCATGAGGTCCTTAGATGGTTGCTTTAAGGGAAAGAGAAATTTGATTTAAGGCAAAATCTAAAGACGTGTAGGACTGCTATTACATAGCAGTGGTGAGTTTATCTGTGTTCATCTAAAAATCAGCCGCCTCAGTTTATCAATCAATCACTAACATTAGTAAAATGTTAACACAAACCTTGGCTAGGTAGATTGAAATCACCAAGAAATCTTCCAAAAATGTTCTGAAACATCTGATCAAACTCCTGTAGGAAATCACTCTGACTAGAATGAAAAAAGTGTTCAAGACCTCCTTGCTCTGGATTATGTCCATCATATATTATCCATTCTTCATGATAATCTGGATGCTCTACCTCCCAGTGAGGCACTGTTTTCCTTCCATACAGGTTATCAAAATCCTGCTGAATGTCTCTAGATTGAGAGCAGTCAAAAACGGAGACAAGAATTATCATTGAGAGTTGATTTATTTTAAATTAATTAATTTCTTGCACTGCATTTGCAGTTCATTGATTTACCTGGTTGCTACATATACAGTATAGTAATTCAGGTTACGGTTTTTAGTAGTAAATGAAACTATGAAAACCAAAAGACTATGGTTATGTCCAGCTAAGTATATCTCCAAGAAAAAGTTGAGGTAATAGCGCACGTATTTATTTCTTGAAAGTGAAACCGCTACACAAGAATAAATAGTACGATACACGAAGTTCTCGTTCATTTTATAGGCTTCTACCCACCTTGGTAACTCATTAGTGTCAAGTCGCTCCTTTGACGACCCAAATAATAATCTGAAAATATCAGTTATACTTGGCATCTCTTTCAAATGCTCATAATCCACAGAAATCAACTCGTCTGTCTGTTGATCAAGCCAAAATTATTTCGTCATCGTCACGTTAGGGTGTCATGTAAGTACAACTATATTGTCCTGTGACTCTTGCTTACATGGAGTACTGACCTAATAGCCCCGTTCCCAGTATCCCTGCAAAATTTTTGAAGATGGTGTGAAGCTGAAAAGCACGGAGTTTTCTGCAATATTTTAGGATTTAATAATGTACCTCAAAATGTAAATCTTGAAAGTAGATCATTGCGTACGATCTCAGGAACCTGCATTTAAAACAATCATGGCGACTGCACGAAGCCCGAATTCTTCCAAAGGAACATCTCCAGTTTCTCCTTTGTCGCCACGTCATGGAAACTCAAAGACAAGTCAGTCCTCATTACCGACGTTCAGACATCGAAATTATTAATGCTGGCTAACTAGAGAGAGATGCTAACTCGTTTATTTTATTAAACAGTTTCTTGGGATGCTGAGGTGGACAGTGATGCGCTGTTTTCCAATCACACGGTTGAAGAGATTCGAGCAGTTGAACACAAAACAAGGTTAGTCCTCAAAACCACCTGAGGGAAAGCATCATGAAAACTTGTCATAAGTATTTTATTTGCTTCTGTGCTTTCTGACTGACCCATTTTTTTTATTTATGATTGTTTTCTACCAAGTATTTTGACTGTGCTCTAATTCGTACAATGTAATAATAAAAATTTTAACAATAATAATAACGATGATTTTAATATCGATGATAATCAGTATTATAATCTTCTGATGACTATTATTACTGTTATTAACATTATTTTTAGTTACCATTCTTTATATTATTGTTATGAATCAACTATTAATCCAATGATTCCTGGTAACAAAGGATGTATGTCAACATTCTTATTGTATTATTGAATGCCAATTGAATACGTGTAGCACAACTGTTTTGCACTAGAATGATTTCAATGTAACACCCACAGATACGTGTATGTTTGCTATAGAAATTAAAACATGTCTGTAATGTGCATGGCTTGATGCTAACTTTTCAACTTACTAGCCAAGTGATTAGTGACAACTTAGATGTTATAACAATTTCAGTTTGTTTACTAGCCAAACTGGCTAGTGGAAATTAAAAACCAATAGCCAAAACTGAATTTCTACTAATCTGTGGCTAGAGGGCTACTGTTAGTGTTGAGCCCTGATGTGTGAATTATTTGTTAGACTATCAAATAAGAAAGTTTTTTTTTCAGGGGTGACATTGAACAAAAGAAGGAAGATCTGCGTGTTATGGTTGGGTAAGTTACACTCATGAAGTAATAGAACTAAAGCACAGGCAATGTTTGCAGCTATTCTATGATATTCAAGGAAATTAACATAATCAAAAGCTGATTACCTGTAAATGCTTGTAAATTATTTCTTGATTGATTTCATTTGAAGAAAGGTGTAAAACATTTGACAAATAGGACAAAAAAACTATTACTCACCCTGAACTGTTGAATGTAAGACCCTCCTCTTTTAAGGTGGATGCTCCATTCCTGAGTCAATGAAAGAGGATTGATGCTGGTGAGCAAGGTCATGTAGAAGGTTTATATATCAGCACACCCCTAGGACTGCCAATAAGAAAAGAGTTATGTCTTGATCTCAGAATGGAATGCCATTTCTATTTTTGCACACAACTGTTTTCACATTGCTCATATTATTTTTAACAAAATTAATGTTGATGCAGTATGTTTCTTGAAATGTGTAAAGTAGAGAGAGAATAATTCAATTTGCTTTTAGAGAAAGAACAGCAGAAGAGACTGTGACATTGTGTTTGAACTAGCCGGCATTAATAAATTCACTGAAGCTCACTGGTAGAAAGAACAGCAGAAGAGACTGTGACATTGTGTTTGAACTAGCCGGCATTAATAAATTCACTGAAGCTCACTGGTAGAAAGAACTGCAGAAGTGACTGTGACAATGTGATATAACTAGCCGGCAGTACGAAATTCACTGAAGCACACTGGTNCTGTACATTAAGGATGCAACCTCTTTTCTCTTTGGTTTGTAGTATGTCCCACCCTTTGTTTACCATTTTGCCAAATACCTGTACCAACCATGTACACTGTACATTAAGGATGCAACCTCTTTTCTCTTTGGTTTGTAGTAAGTCCCACCCTTTGTTTACCATTTTGCCAAATACCTATACCAGCCATGTACATTGTATATTAGGGATGCAACCTCTTTTCTCTTTGTAGGTCATGAATTTCGTTCAGGATATTCAAAAGCAGTGCAAGGACCTTCATGTATCCCATAAATGCTATGGAGTTGGCGGTGCCCAGGCCTCCAGCACTACTGACAGAATGTAAGTGTTTATTATAAGATCAACCAGTCTTTTACTGATAATCATCTCATGATCCAAAAGTAAAGAGTACAGGAATTGTCATTGGCTCATTTCAAACCTAAATCTAAATTTTATGGGAAGTTTTATTTAGTTCATTGTTGATTGTATTAATGCCACTGTTATTATACATGTAGTGTTACCATATATTAGTAAATCATCCAGATGGACCTAAAGCTGGCACCCAAGGGATATTGATAATTACATGTACTTATATTCATATTCATGTCCTTAGATCATAGTTAGATTGTTTTTATGTTGTACAATGTAGATTTTGCAGTAAGGGTTGAAAATTGTCAGCTTTTGGTTTTGCTTGTTATCACAGCAACTAAACCCTGCATATGCAATGACCACCCTTTTAGTATAAACCTACTTCGATACAAAACCTGTCAATTGCCCAGTGATCAGATGGTTGTGGTAAACAAGTTTTTTTTTTGCTAATAATTTAGTAACTTTGTATTTGAAGAAACTTGAGTAGCAAGCACCTTATATGCAGGGACCAGGACTAACTACCTTGGCTATTACAGTTGAACCTTGATTATCCGGACTCGTTGGGACTAGATG